TAATTGAAAAATAAAATATTTGTTTCAAAATAGAATATATGACAATATTTAATATAATATATTATCCTAGACTGACAAATGAACTCCGTTCAGAATCGTTTTTCGTATACAATGATATCTATCATTGCATTCAAATTTAACCTACCCTAGTCAGAGGTCCACCCCACCCCCTAATGTACAAGAGAGAGACATCCACTTACCCGTTTTTTTTTTTTTTAATATTTAACAGTATTTTCAGTTTTATTAATAATGTGCAGTTTGTTGTTTTTAATAATATATAAAATATAACAATCAAGCCTTGTATCTTTAAATCTATAATAATTTATAATTTATAAATATAATTATTATGAAATTAGCTAATATATTATTTTATAATTATCTGGCAATAACATAAAAGTTTTTATGGGAACAGTGGCTAGAATAATTTCGAAATAGTCTTAAAAAAATAAGATGATATTGACGACTGACGAATAAGTTTTTTTCGAAGACAAAATGACTACAAACATTGATAAACAAAATACCTAAAATAATAACATTACGTTTTTATATTAAATTCAATTATAATTTGTTAAATAATATTGGTATCTCATARGTTGTTGTTTATTTTTAAAACATAAAATACTATAAATACTATTTGTCCATGTACCACCAATCGTTTTAAATCGATTACATACAAAAAACAATTTATAATATAGAATTATTGGCAAACTAAACTAATTTAGGGGAACCCATGGCGACATAGTGGTTATTTTTATGTATTTGTTGTAGGTTTTTATTGTTATTCAAATTATTGAAATGTTAGCTTTAATAGCAATATTCTGAATATTCATGTCTTATATCAAGTTATAATCAAGAAGACACCACACGGCCATTCGTTGTCTGTGTCGTACAAACATATAGGTACAATATGGACAATTTTACGTTCACATCAACTTGTTTTTACAAATTGGCTATCCCTAATCTAATCTTACAATGTTAAGTTTTTCAATTTTTATGAATACCTATAGTTTCAACCTACCTAGGAAATGTAAGGTATTTAAATGATTAAAATCAAAATCACAAATCACAAATTAAAATCACACTATTGAAACGTTAAAATTGGATTGAGTATAGAACAAACAAATTTTCGTTTGTTATTAATAGGATTCGGATTTTAAGGCAAAAGCCTTTTTTTAATAATAATAAACGAAAAATAATTTTTATATAAAAATGTGTTTAATTTAATATTTAAGATGATAAATGTAATTTTTTTGCCTTTTGTGTGTTTAATTTTCAATCAATTTAATAGTTTTATACACGACATAATATGTATTATCAGTACAAATCTATAAGATCTTTTGAATACAGTACATTGTTATCTGTCAATTATTATTAATGAGTTTTATTATCAGCGATATTTATTGATATTACTAAATACTTTATCGAGTATTTGGTATGGTACAAAAATATTTTAAGCCCAAATCGTCAAAGTTTTACTGAAGACAATTTACCTAAGCGCATGGTAGAGCATTTTTTTGAATTAAAAAAATGTTTTGGTAWAAAATGTCTCAGACTATTTAATTTTTTAGTAAATTTTATAATTGCTTTTTATATAAATAAAATACTGTCTTTTGGCTTTTTTTGGCATTTTATATGCTTATTTATTGATTAAAATCAAAACCCTAGAGATTAATGATTTATATTGTCTAAATCATTGCAATAGCAACTACCTTGTTGCCTGACAATATTTATATTTCGTTTAATAGCCAACTCTAATTKACATTGAATAAAACAAAACACTGCGATTTGCATCAACGAGCTGTAATCTTAAAGATCACAATTAATGTTAAGTTTCGATCAGTCAACACAGTCATCATAATTCGTAATTAAATTTATACGATTTAATAAGATATGAAAATATATAATCAAGCTTTTCATCGCCCGTGCAGTTAGTTACACGACGATCGATTTATAAAATAATAATACATGTGTTATACAAAGTATCAAACGCACGGATAGAAGTAAAATAAATTACCGAAATAATAGGTATGAGCGTGCCACAGTTGGGGTCCTGCAACTATCGTGGCGGCGGCATCGGTGACGGTGAACAACGTCGACGACGACGACGACGACAACGACGTCGCCCGTGGATGGTCAACCGCGAGACGGCGCACGATCGGCACTACTGCTAGCGTGCATGCATATACTGAGCACGGAAAAAAACCTCAGCAACCGGGCGAGACGCTGTAACCGTGAGCGCGCGCGCGCACCCTCGGAAAACTTATGCATGCATCCCCCACTCAACCCAATCCGCCACGGTACCATCATACCTCCCCCCATCGCATCATATACAACTCCCCTCTCATATAACCCCTACCATACCAACCCTTACGCATGCCATTCGACAACTAACGAGCGGGTGACGAGTACGGGGTGCGGACCGTGGCGCCGTCGGCCCCGGTGCGTTGCGGGCGCCGTACAACACTAAATATTCCGATCCGTCTTGTGCTAACTTATCTCTTGTGAGGCTGAGTGACTATGTGTGAGATGTCGGCGTCGTATCATGTGGTGAGGGAGTACCGCGTCGTTAGGATAGGTTCACGAATCGAGTTAGGGTGATAAGTGCGTATTTGTTATCGGCGGCGACGATGATTGAAAATGCGGAAAAGTGACGGATGGACCACACCGTCAGTGAAAATGTAAAGAAAAAAAACTTGCGTACGACGTGTAAACAGGGTTTTATTCCCAAATTACGACAGCTCTGATCGAACGATTGCGCGTTATTGGGTGGGTAGCAACTGCGGTGAAGTTTTTATTACCGTATAATATGGATGAGAGTCGTACCTATATTTCACAAGAGACTTCTGTAGTGCCTGAAAATTGTAATAGCAKGGTACTAAATTTCATAATAGCATTTAGAAAGACATGCAAATCCACACATTTTCATAGGAATTACATAAATAATATCGTATATATTATATTCAAAACAAGATACCAAAATATGATGTATTACCTAACGCAGCGGTGTCCAAGTTTTTTTCGAGGTGTTCTTTTTGGAATAAATCATGATACTCTGCTGTGAATACCATAAAATTCAAG